TGCCATGGACATGACACAACTTCTCTATAAAGACCTGTAATGGTGGTTCAAACATTTAAACAATTCAAATGGTGCAGACAGTTTCATCCTTATTTTTTCCTGGTTTTCTTTTTCATCCCCTCAGCTTTCTTGCCATAGGGTTATGAATGGCTATATGCTAAATGCTCACAGAACTATTGTTTGGGTCAGTGCTCTAAACCTGGACTTCTGGGTTTTTCTGAAAAGCATCCCAATAAATGAAAACAATGAAAACTTGCAATTCTGCATTCCAAACTATTTTGGAGACATTTTAAACCTGTTTCTAGTGCTCTTTTTCTCTTAATTATTTTACCACTGTGATGATACTGACTTAAAGGAATTAATAGAATATCAGGCTCTTCTGAGAATTGTTTCTGAGTATTGTTAGCATATTTTGTATTCCTTTAAGAAAGCTTATTTCTCTTATCCATTGTCAGGTTCCTTTGTCACTAATAGAAATAAATGTAACTGGAGATCTCATGAAGATCTAGGGAAAACCATGTTATTGAATTTTTAAGATAAACTGCTCTAAGTCTTCATTTTCATACATTTTCTTTCTTTTTTTTTCCCTTTTTTGATTTTCATTCAGATTTAATAACTACTTGTTATAGGAACACTTACTCTCTTATTTTTAAATAATATTTGGTAAAAACTGTGTAAATTAATTAAAATATTTATAAGTATATATGGCCACAATAAAAGCTCTTCATAGAGTAAGACAGATTTCAAAAATGGCTGATAACCTGAAATAGCAATTCCCATTTGTAAACGTTTTACATTATTCAAGATGATGAAGAACTGGTGCTTGCACAAGGTTTATGAAAAATTGATTCTATTTCTTATTTTGTCTACCATTTCCTTCAGTAAAGCAAAGACTTCCTTATACATTCTGAATTCAGGATTTCTGATATTGAATCAACCAATTGTGTATACATGAAATATGCAAAAATAGATATTCTTCTTAAAATAAATTGACATGATTGACATGATTTGACCAAATTAGGATGTAAAACTACAGGAAACCAACCAATATTTTTATATTTGAAGATGAGCACCACAAGAACACATCCTATCTAACAAAAGAAATGTATGCTGGAACAGTCTCCCCAGGGAAGTGGTCACAGCACCAAGCCTGACAGAGTTCAAGAAGCATTTGGACAGTTCTCTTGGGCACATGATGTGACTCTTGGGGATTGTCCTGTGAGGGGCCAGAAGTTGGACTTGATCCTTGTGGGTCCCTTCCAACTCAGGATACTGTGTAAAGGGTCTAGAGAGTAAGTCATATCAAGAGAGGCTGAAAGAGCTGCAACTGTTTAGTCTAGAGAAGAGAAGGCTCAGGGGAGACCTTATCACTCTCTACGACTACCCAAAAGGAGATTGTAGCAAGATGGGAGTCAGCTTTTTCTCCCAGGCAAGTAGTGACAGAAGAAGAGGACATAGCCTTGGTCTATGCCAGTGGAGGTTTAATTTGGACATCAGGAAGAATTTCTTCACTGAAGAGGTGATTAAGCATTGGATTAGGCTGCCCTTAGTGGTGCTCAAGTCACCATCCCTGAAAGTGTTCAAAAAACTACTTCATGTGGCACGTAGTGCCATGGTTTAGTTGACATGATGGTGTTTAGTCAAAGGCTGGACTTGACAATTTTGGAGGTCTTTTCCAATCTTATGGATTCTATGATAAATTCTAAAACACATAAGTCTTCAGAAGGACTTAACTACAGAACAGTAAATAGTCTGGTACCATCATCGTTATTACATAAAAATGGAGGAGAAATGAACTTGTTACATGCTCTGAGTCCAAAAAGGTTCCTTCAAAGGAATATGAATTATCTCTACCTCCTGATGTAAAACCTCACTTTTAAAAACAAGTTTAAAAACAAGTCATTAGTTAGCAAGAGAATATTCAGGTTCAGAAAGATGTCTGAACTGCTACATACACTGTATGTGGGGATAAGTGACTTCAAACACTATTCAACACTCTGACATACCAATGCAAAACTCTGGCTGAATGTATCATAAAACCCCATTTCATCTTTTGCAATACAAGCCATTGCAGCACTTTGCCATAAATCCCAGTCCTGCCTTCCTCCAGGGCTCCACTGACCTAAGCTGATATTATGATGGGCAACTACTAAGACACTGTAATCGATGTTTTTCAGGCAGGGAAGGAAAAGACGAATAAATGAAGAAAATGTTGGTTCAATGGGAACCATATTTCACCTGGTTTTTGTAACTTTAAAAGCAGAACATTTGACAGAAATTGCTTATTACTTACTGTTATACCAGATAGATAGATAGATAGATAGATAGATAGATACACACATACACATAATTTTTGGGAGCTGGAGTTGTATATATACATTAATTCTTTGTGCCACCTATCTAATTATGTTTATAGCCCATGTATGATAAACAGTAAACAACCATGGGATTTAATATCCACAGAAAGACTTAATATATTACAACTTTTGCTTCCTTAAAATTGCAGCACAGACAAATTGCAGTAGAATGGTGAAGAAAGGAGCTTCTGAGCAAATTAAATAATAAGTGCTGGACCGTTTCACCCCTTCAATTATGTTTAAAATAAAAACTAACCTGAGTCATTTACTCAAAGTGCAGTTCTGCTTTTGCGCATTTACCCTTTACTGCCTGCCCTCATTACCTCTCGGGTGCATTTCCTCTTGCTGTCCTACTCAAGCTATTGCAATCATCACACTGAATATGTTTGCTACAAGGTAATTTTAAGTGTCTTAACTGAGCTTCTCCACTGGGTTTTCAAAACTGAAATAGCTTGTAACATTCATTCTGAAGGCATCACCTCATCATTAAAATAAACAGAAACTCCAAATCTGTAAGGAAAATCTTCTAAATACCATCCCTGCAATCTTTACTTTGCTCCTTGAAAGAAATTATTGTTCTTGCTCATTAATCTTTCTCAAGATTCTTTGGTACATTCTACCACTATAAAACATTAGGTGACAGCAAGGCTGAGTATTCTTATTTCAGTGATGAAACTAAAATGCAATAAAGAGCAGTGGACAACTATTTGATGTGAGAGGTTTAGCTAGATATTTCTGTAGCTATAACTTTGGAAGTACAGATAGAGTACATAATTTTGTCAGATGGCATCAGTTCAGCCTCTTATACTTTTTTTTTGGTCAGATAATCACTTTATAGTGTAAGAATCTGAAGGAAGGATGAAGAAAAAAGAGAACCACTATACTGCTGAGTATTTAATTTTATTTATTTCAGATTAAAATATCAAGTACATGTTTATCTCAGGAACCTGAATTATTAAGTTTTAAACTAGATTCTAGACGGGTATTTGAAACTACTTGAAAATAACCTTTGACTGTATGCAGAAAGCATACATAAAAAAGTACATTCCTCTGACACTGAAATGAGATTTTGTCTTCTACCAATAACAATCTTGCTCATACATTTAAAAGGTTCCATCCACGAAATATAAAACAAACACTGATACAACAAGCTTAGATGACTCTTTAGACAATACTAGTGGGCCTCTTCGAGGTGAAAAGCTTTATAACTTGTCACAATGGTATTCAGAATAGCAATTAATTGCTAATTTATTTTTTAAAATTTATCATCAATCTACATGTATAAGCACGGACAACTGGAAAAAAAAGGATGTGCTAAAAATGCAGTATTTGGTTTAAAGAACTACATAGAACATGCCCTTACCTACCTGGGAATTAAAAAAGAAATCCATGTAGGAAAGGCATAAATACAGGTTGGGATGATAAACATGTTTTAAAGTAAGCCTGATTATCTAAATTCAACATTTATCTATACTTGCTGGAAAGTGTAACATCAGATATTTAAGGTTTTCTTTATATAAACAGAGGAGATAATTATGGTATTTTAAATAGCATTATAGAATAATTGACAAAACTGTTTCCATTTTCAAGGCTACTGTTACAAACTTATCTGAAATATATTAATCTAAACATAATTAAACATTTCCCTCAAGTAGTGTAACTTCTAGCATATTGTGGTTTTCTTCTAAAGAGAACTGTCATCATCAGAAAAATCATGTTGAAAATGTTATTGAGCAAATGATGTGATATGAAATGTCTCACAGGTTATGTCAAGAGCGCATAGAAATAAATGTTTTTAGAACACATTAATTAGTAAAAATCTCCTTCATCACCCACAGGCCAGATAGCAATCTGTGCTCCCTCTCCCTCTACCCAAAATAAAAAAATAATAAAAAAATAAAATAATAATAAAAAAAATGTGGCAGACACTAAATATCTCCAGGTGATGGTAAATTTCCTTATTTTCCTTGCATCACTAGAACAGCTGCATCATGCAGCTTCCTTTTCAAGCCACTCAGTTTCTTTATACTTTGTTTTTCACTCTTGTGTATTAGTAGCAAGACCACTTTTATAGAAACGCAGAGAAAGAGGAGCACTGTAAAGAGCTGGAAACAATATCTCAGTGTAAACCATATTAAAGATGCAGAAAGAGACTGATCACCTGTTGCAGATATCTACTAGGAAGTAGAATCTACTCCAATTTATGGTGATAAAGCTTGATGAATCAGAAGGTTAAATACTTTTGGAAGACATCTGTCACCCCACCTCTATTATCAGGTTAAGCCAGATGTGATTCTAGAGGATCTATCTCTGTAAAAATGCTGGAATTTCACCTTCTGTTTTCCCTGATGCAATTACTTTACAGAATCAGAACACATGACTTATTCATCCTGTCCCACCCATCTCATAAATTTTAGATTTTTTTTTATAAATAACTAAGTTTATTAAAAAAATTAAAATGTTCAAGACATTCAATAGAAATTTCTACTTAAGCATCAACCATTTAAGGAAAGGGAATGCCAGGAGAAGAAGAAAAATAAAAACATAATCAGAAAAAAAAAATTCTTTGACATAAAAGTCTCACTATTAAGAGCCCTGTTTCATATTTGATCAATTAAAATACAGTATATTAAAATATAGTACCTTATAACACATGCATAGAGCCCGCTGTCTTGTACCACTGTTGGTCGGAACCAAATGGAATCTTCTTCTTTGCTCATTCTGGTTCCATCAAAAGCTATAGGTTCCTCAAAATCTCCAGGTCCAGAGCTTTTGTACCACATCAAGCTAAGTCCAGCACTTTGGGCTAGGGAGTAATTAGCTCTAATATATCCATAAAAGAGTGCACATTTTATACGAACAGGTTCTCCCACTAGAACTTGATATTTCTTGTAATCCACAGACCAGTCAGTGCATCCATCAGCTGAAAGAGAAGAGAAAATGACAAGAGATTGTCAAAGGCTTTGGAGAGCACTATTCACACAGAACCCTTACTGTGGGAAAGCACTGCGTTTGAGGAAAGGCCCTTTGAGTCACCAGCAGGACTCTTTTGATCTCTGAAAAAGTAACTGCATTTTCACAGTATTAATGTCATGTAATTATCTATACTGGATAGAGTTATTAGGACATTTATTGCTAAATGTTGATAACTTCTGAGATAATTGAGCAATTGCTATATTATCTTTTGTGGAACTCCAGCATGACAAAATTCTAGACTGAAACTAGTGCAACACAGAGGCCATGTGGTACACAGGGTGTCCCAGTCTGAATTGCATCAATCAAATATCTCCAGGGTAATCATGCAAATTAAGTCTCAGAAGATATTAGGGCAAAGAACTACGGTCTGAATCAAAAAGTGTGAAACTTGGGTATTGATTTGAAGGAGAAGTAGAAACTTCCTTTACAATAGCAGCAAGTGTGCTAAAAGATACTGTCAAGAAAACTACTATCACTAATTTTAATGGATTATTCAAGAAAATGATAAGCAGATCTTATCTGGAATTTCTGACTTTCCACAAGTACATTACAAATTAATGTAAATAATTTTTTGTTTTGTTGAATAACATCAGTCACTACTAATACTGTCCCACAATAACTGTTCATCAGAAAGCAATACTATATTTGCTAGACTTTCTGAACTCCAGCAACAAAACCAAACCCTAAAACAAAAAAACCCACAACTTCCCTTTCTCTTCCTCTTTAATTAAGAATACCAAAGCAACAAAAGGAGATGTTTTATACAACAAAAGCTTATAATTTTTTCCTCAAGGAATTTAAACCATGGAAATTCACCATTACATTCATTCACTTAAAAACTCAGTGTCCAGTCTCAGCTAGTTAGTTAGGCCCCAATCCAGTCAGTAGAAAATAATAAGTATATCCAAAAGACAATTTATTTCATCTTAAAGTTAGTTTCTATGTCTCATACAAATATTTGGTCATTGAATTTGACACTTCATTAACTTTAAAAAATCTTGGATAGACAACTAGGTTAGAAAATCAACTTTTGCAAAGCTAAAGTGTCATCCTAGAGTTGGTTGAATACTGACTTTAACAGAGAATTCAAACTACTGTGCAAGATAAAGCAGTATTAGCACTTTAAACCTAGACAATGTATTGGCCTATTACCTAGGAGAATAACATCCCAGGTAGTTATTTCTGATATATATATTTGAATGATATGAGCAAAATAAGAAAGACTCAGACATCATCACACATTGCTGTCTAAGAAATAACTTAAGTGAACATTGAAAGATGGAGGGGAAAAATATTAAAAATTTAGAATGAATTTGCACTGTAAACAGAATTCACATAAAGAAATATTTCATATATCTTTGAACTGTCTCCTCTTGCATTTAGTTCTAAAACTAGGAAGGGAATATAATATGTCCCTATTCCAATTTTCCTACTCATCAGTTCCTAAAAATTAGTAAAAATTACAAGGCCCTAACAAGACTTAGTTGTACTCTTGCAGAAATTGAAGTGAATGAAAGCTACACTATTAGCTTTCCCACAGGACTCTAAGAAACTAACTTCCATTTATTTCAGAATTCAATTACATCTTTGATCATTTCATTTTTTACCTTTCTGAAAGTGCATTCCCTCTCTGATCTGATTCTATTTATCTCTGCCTCTATATCCCCATACCAAAAATGAATTAACAGACACCTCTTAGCAGTGTAAATTTCATTATATAAGTTACCAGGTAACGGGTTCCTCATCATACTTTATCATCAAATTTTAATCTTGCCTGTCACTGCCTAATTAAGTTAGTACACTTTGGTTTATATTATTAGTCTGTTAGTTACGTTTTCTCTCTCAGGATATTCAATTCTAATGGTTCCCAGTTCCTTTAGCTTGCTGAATCCATTAGAATAAATTGCAACTCTGTTTCAAGCCTTTGTATCAACTGAAGGATGCAGAGCAAATACTACCGGCTTTATTTCAGCATGCTGTTTCTCATAAAAGCATGCCAAGGATCATCTGCAGTACAGTTTAATATGCTGGCAAATATTCTATACCTGCATGCAAAACCAGAGAGAACATAACCAAACTCAGCGCTAGTGAGCCCACACCTAGAGTGCTGTGTCCAGCTTTGGGCTTCTGAATATAAGAGACTTGTACAGACTGGAGAGAGTCCAACAAAGGGTCACAGAGACGGTTAAGGGACTGAAGCTGAGACTGATCAGTCTGGAGAAGAGAAGGCTCAGGGGGGAATTTCAGTAATGAATACAAATATCTGAAGGGAAGTTGAAAAGAGGACGGAGCCAGCCAAGTAACAGCACAAGAGGCAAATTGAAACTCAGTAGGCTCTTTCTGGACACCAGGAAACACTTTCTTACTGTAAGGGTGACTGAGGATTGGCAATAGTGTCCTAGGAAGGTTGATGATTCCCAATCCTTGGAGCTATTCAGAATCCAGCTGTTTCTAGGTGGTCCTGCTTGAGCAGGAGTTTGGACCACTTGACCTTCAGGGGTCTCTTCTGACCTCAAGCACCTGGTAATTCTGTGTTTTATTACAGTTACACTCATGATAATCTTAAGAAAACATGTGTCCTCTTCTCAATGTGGTCCTTCAATGAAGTGAACATCAGAATGTTTCTCTTCCTGCTTACAGGACTTACACCAGTTAAACTTTGCCAACATTGACATTCAAGTCACTTAGAACTGTATTAACCTTATTACAGCTGGAAGCCTTAAACCCTTAAAAATCTTCCAAGAAATACCTCACACTACTGCTCAGCCAATGTGTCTTCATCTATGAGAAGGTGCTAATGCAATCTTATGAGATATCATAGAAATTCATCATTCCTATCATAAGACACAGACAACCTTCTGTGATATTTTGTGAAAACAATGATATTTCAGAAGATAACTGTCTATCTCTGTCTAAAATGGTCCTATTCCACTGCAACCAAGCAGTGTAGAAGCTTAAAACCACATAATAGAAAGAAAAATAAACTGTCATGTCCTTAAAAATTATATTACTGTGAACACTCAGATAGATGATAGGATGCATGTATGGTAACTGATACTTTCCGTGTACACTCTGCATTTGATGTGTGGAGAACACATGCATTTTTCACTTTAGAAAAACTTGGATGTATCAGATACCTAATTAAAATCCTGATTTCCAAATTCCTTGAAAAATGTAAATATATATTTTAAAAGACACAAAGTTACATTCAGAGAGTTAATTACATTTTCTTATATTGACTTTTCCACTTTAAAAATGTCACATTTTTACATGCTAAACAGTCATGTTACTGATTTTTTAAATAGGGACAGAGAACAGCAAAGGCTTAATGTTCATTCAGATTTGTTAATATTAAATAGATTGAGGTACTTCTATTCAGTTTCATGTTGTAACTGTGTCCATTTCTATTTTGACTGGATTTTCTTTTTATTTTTTTTTATGTATAAGTAGGGCATTGATCAAAGAAAATATTGAATGCTTCCCTTCTTAATTATGACTGCTATTGACACAAAATCAACACCTACAATTAGGTGGTTCAAAACAACTGTGGGAAAAAAATACACTCAGTACTTTCCAATGTTTTTACTTATATAATCGCATCATCAAGCACTCAATCATCTTTTATTTTATTTTATAAATTGAAAAATACTTGAATAATTCAATAGCTTTGAAATTTCAGAACTGCTTCCAAATAAATATTTGTAGTCCCTGATCTCCATTTTAATAATGCCACTTATTTCTACACATAATAGCACAATATAGGGTCCAAGATAGATATAATTCACTCAGCTATTTCCTTGAGCAGCTTCAGGGTATAAAATAAACCCCACTACATCACTGTCCTAATAATGAGATCATTCTGCTGGATAAACAAACTTCTTGCAGGTTGTACCTGCGGATAGGACCCAACACACAGAATATTAACAATTACTGAGAAGGTTTTCCCCTTAATTTTTCAGTATCATATGTATAATTTTCAAGGCCAAATTCCATACTGAAAAGGAGAAAAATATAAAGTTAACAACTCCTGAGTCCACTGATACAGTCTGGTTTCATTCAAAAGTTTCAATTCAATTTATAGGTTTCAGGGTTAGAAAAGGTCTATAGGTTTCCAATACATGGGTTAAAATCTGATTTCCAGACATCCAAACAAATTAGGTGTGACAGCTGAAAACAATTCTCCTAAAACATCAAATTATCCTAAATTTATTACACTTAATAATGTTTAATAAAATAAAAACAGATTTATTTTTTCCTGATTATCTGTGCTTGTATTTCTGCTCTTGATTTAATTTCATACAGAGAGGATTATACAATGTCACTGTGCCTCCTGTTCATTTGTCAGCTACTTCAGAGTTTTTTAAAGGCCTTTGCAAACCTGATGAAGAAGAGATCTCATAAGTCACAAAAAATTCTGAAAAGTGGGCACCAAGTCTTGTTCCTAAAGCTGGGAATTTGTCAAGGAGGTCAGATAGGGAATGCAGAATGAAGTGTGTAGGTAGAGAAAGCAAGCAAAGGTTATTGTATCAGTAAGATTTTTGGGTAGGGTGGAGAATATGGGCATAATATGTTCAGAAAAGAGTCTTTCCTTAACTAGCTGCTCATAAATCACCTTTTCAAAATGTTTATTGAGTGATTACTTTCTTTAAAACAATTTTCACAACGATATTTTACCATCAAAATCACAGTCTTTTCTTGATCCTCTCTCTTTACCCTGCTTGTTTCTTTCTGCTTTTTGCTCAGGCTATCTAGCATTAAAAAAAAATCAAAAAGTCAAACAATAAATCAAGAGTTTATACTTTCTATCACACTCATTACAGTGCCTGAGCCAATTAGCTCTGTGCAACATAACACATGGTATTCTGCTGTGGATTCTCATTATGAAGACATGCAAAGATTATCTGTTTTTGGTTTGTGTATGCATTTTATTTGCTATAAAAATAAGCT